TTTAACCTTTCTAAATATTCCAGTAAGATTTCTTGAGTTATTGAATATTGAGTTGATGTTCTGTTGAGTGTGTTTTAATACATAAGACCGGGCTGTTGAACTAATACAATAAAAAATCACGCTTTAGATGGGTTATAAGAGTGATAGCCAACACCTATTATCCAAGTTAGAGAAGTCTAATAGTTATCAGTGGGTACTGTTATTAGCTGCTTTTTCTTTAGGTTATCAGTTCAAAATTAAGGGCTACCCAGTGGCACAGCGGTATGTTTGCGGACTTACAACGCTAGAAACCGAGTTTCGATACCCGTGGTGGGCAGAGCACAGATAGCCCATTGTGCAGCTTTGTGCTTAAATACAAATAAACAAACAAAATTAAGGACGGCCCAAGGTAGCCTTAGCGTAGTTTTGCGCGAAATTCCTAAAACAAAATTACAATGCACCAATTACTAAATATTTGGAGAATATTTGACCACATCTGTATGATTTTTTAAAGTCAATCAGTTGCTGAAAATTGAAACAGAAATGTTGTCACAGAATATTCAGTTGTATTTTATCACGTATGTATCCCTTTGTCATTCTAAAAATAATAGTAGTTGTTAAATATGAAGACAGTAAAACATTAAAGAAATGCCTATGACTTTTTATAGTATCTTACAGCATGCAAAGTAAGGCATGGTGTAGTTAGCCCGTACTCCGTTGGATCAATGCAATTACAACACACAAATTCAGGATTCGATTATCCGCGATGGACAAAGTGTAGATAGCCCATTGTATAGCCTTGCACTAAACAAAAACAAAACATCAAATAGTCAGCGTACTAGGACCATGAAGTCAGGGTTTCATATTCGCAACCCGCTACAGCAAAAATGCGCTGCACGATTTTTGAGGGCCGTGAGTCCGCTATGAGATAACTGTCAAATCCCATTTTTCGATTTTGGGGGGCCGTGAGTCCGCTATGGGATAACTGTCAAATCCCATTTTTCGATTTTGGGGGGCCGTGAGTTCGCTATGAGATAACTGTCAAATCCCATTTTTCGATTTTGGGGGGCCGTGAGTCCGCTACGAGATAACTGTCGAATCACATTTTTCGATCAGATACAAGTTAACGGTGGGTGCTGTTGACTCGCCGTATTCTCTCTTGTCTATTAGTTCAAAATTAGGGGTCATCCATAAGTAGCCCTTGTGTAGCTTTGTGCGAAATTCTGAACCCCCCAAAAAATAAAACACACCAGTTACATTATATAAAGACGATTGATATAATTAGGATAACTTTTCATGATTTTCATGACGATGCAGGAATAAATATTAAAAAGGAATTTTTTCACGTACCCCCACATCAATAAAAACGTCCAGGGATTTGATGCATAACGCCAGTCACAAATCGTTAAGCTATAGGTTTTATCAAGTAAATGCATGCACTAAATACTCAACTTAAATTTGATCACGTAAATGTCTTTGATTCATCACCACAGCGTAGTTTCTGAACATCTAGTACACATTTTGTCACGTAAGATTTTGTAATTCTTTTATCATCATAATCCTTGAATTAAACGCAGAAAACGTGTCTCGTAAATGCATTTTACTTCGTTACAACACGTTTGTTTGAGTTTTATCAAGTAAACAGCTAGTTATCACGACTACTAAACTTTCTGTTTGTCTTATCATCAGAGTTTCCTTTTATCAATTTTCATAACGTGTAAGGGCACCATTTGGATTAGTCAGTGAAAAGTAAGTAGAATTTTCATCACGGAACCTTTCTCCCTCTCTCTCTCTTCTTTTTTTTCTTCTTATGAATTTTGAACTACTGACCAGAGGGAAAGCAGCCACTCAGCAGCACCCTACTACTGACTACTAAGAGATTTCTCTGTCACTCTGGTAACGCACCCAAAGCTTTAAGTGCGGGTAATATTTTGTGGTATTTCGTGGATTCGAACCCGGGTCGCCAGCTCCAAAAATCCAGAGCTCTAACACAGAGCCAACCCGCACCCCACCAGTCGCTGAATATTAAACAAAAATGTTATCACGTAAGTCTGAAATATCACTAAAATCAACAACTGATGACATTTTACCTTATTAGTTTTCTTTTACCATTTGTCACTGTATACACCTGTCACAAACATTAAGCGTGGGATTGGTACATTAGACTATGCTCCAATATCAGTCTGTCTCGTAAGTCATGTTTAAAAGCTTAAATTATTGAGTAAACATTCCTAAAAATTATGTAATGTAAGGCTTACCGAATCCATATAAGTTGCTTTTAAAGTATACATGTAAACATGATTTATATGTAAGGTATAATATATGTATATATATATATATATATATATATACACACACACACACACCTGTCTGCAAACGTGAGGTCATGCATGGGCATGAGTATCCGACAGGATGTATTTTATTGTCAAAGTTAATCGTAATCGTGAAGTAGAAACCACCAGGATCCTTTCCTCTGATGTATAATAATAACGTATGTTCTTAAAAATTCTTAGTACACAACCCTATACTTGTATGATAAACAAACATCGCCGTTATCTTAAACCGCGCATACATTTCGTCCGTGAATAAATAGGTAGATTTAGCCTCCCATACACACACACACACATGCATTATTAAAACATGCCTTTCAACTTTACTCTGCTCTTTGGGCTGTAGTTTAAACCCGCAGCACGATCTGAATAGAACCATTATGTTGAATGTACATGTGAAGAGCTTAACTTTAAGACCTAATGTTTCCGAGAACAACAAATACAAGCACAATGGAATATTTATTTTTTTCACTCTGGCGCGACTGTTAAAAATACTCCTTATTATATAAAGATACGACTTGTTTAGATAAGTGGTGGTGGGCTACACGTAGGTGGAACTCAAGAAATCTGCACATCTTTTTGTACATTGTACATTAATATTTTGTTTAAAATATGGCAGTTATCATGAATACCATGAAATGCTTTAATTTTAGTCTTTTATATCAACATTCGTTCACGGTTTGCCTAATTAAGGAAAGGTAACAGTTTTACAGTGTACTATTATTATTACTTACAGTAATTATAAGATACTAGTGGTCCATAATTAATTAAGAAGTTTGTGTTTATAAATACCTTTTTTTGCGTGTATGTTATATCAACCCATTTTCCACGAGCTTAAGTCAATTACAAATTTATCTTACAAAGTATGTACATCAGTAACTCATTATTGATTTATCCGTGCTTGTGTTGCCAAGCTAGGCCTATCGTAACAGTATCATGAAAAGCGTTGATCCGGATATTTCCGCATATTGTGCTGTGAACAAATGCAGGTAACAACTGGTGCGTGCAAACGAATCTTTTGATCGTTGCTTCGTCTAACACTTTGTTCAATCAGGATTTACACAATTTGTTAGAAAAAAATACACCTAACACTTTGTTCAATCAGGATTTATACAATCAGTTTCGTAGAAAAAAAACAACATATCATGGTTTGATAAAACTTTGTTTTTCATTAGCCCCCCCCCCCCCCCGACACTAACATTACTTTGCAAAGTAGATACGAAAAATTGAATTGAATTCAACGTTACTGCCGAGATGAGTGATGAGCCTGTATGTTGAAGCGATTTGTTGTGATGCAACATCTCTCCCTAGTTACACAAGTTTATTTGCCTGGAGTGATTTATAAATCCATGCTCGAGTTATATAACACTGTGTATATTATTGGGGTTTCATGTAAAAAAAAAAAGTCAACAACGTTGTTTAGTGGTAAGGTTGCTTGCCAAAATAGATATACCCCCTGGGACTAGAGCTCTATTGATGTGGTGGTGCTCGTGCTTACTCCCGCCTCTCGCTGTACGCCGCTCTCTGCATATGCATGAGAATAGGAAATTACAATATATATAGCGTGGAGCTGATGTAGTTGTTGTTGAAAATACATTTACCATAATACTTGGGGCAGAAACAAATGTCCCCTGTTCTCAAAGGCTGTTGGTGCATCTGAATGTGGGTGGATGTCGCTAAAAGTTTGAAGAAATGTGTTCTTGTTGACTGCTAGCATCGAGTGGCCAGACCCGTTTTCCCTAATCAGCCGCCTGAAAACCAATATCACCCCTGATTAAACCCAAATCATGTCAGGCAGCCGAGTTCTGGTCGGTGAAACCGAGTGTAAGCTACTGTTGCCGTTCTCTCTCGGCGTGTCAGGCCGCTTCGATACTGTTATCATTCTCTCTCGGCGTGTCAGGTCGCAGAAAGAAAACACCTTTTATTACTCTCGCCTGGTAAGAAGGATGTACGACTGGATGTGAACGATGTTAAATTGGATGTGTAGACGTAAGCAAATATGTTTATTAGCATTTTACAAGTTTCAGCCACAGTTTTCTTTGTTCGTTTGAGAGAAAAGTCACGTTGGTGCTGTCTCCACGACGGGGAATTAACCCCCGATTTTTTAGTGTTGTAAGTCCGTAGACTTACCGCTGACCCACCTGGAGACTTTTCCTTTCTTACTGTGTTATATTTGTACTTCTAAGTGTCTGTTGATCATATTAAACAGTGTATTTTAAGACACTATGAATGTAGTAAAAGAGAAAGCTTTGAATGAGGGAGTAAATAAACCCATATCGTAACAGCGATATAAAAATTATACGTGATTATCGCATTAAATACTGTTTTGTTGTGTGTGGCGAAATGCTTTTGGCAATAAACGATTTACGTGGTACGTTGACGCTAACTAACGCTCAATTTTTGCTACCTAAGTGCATTTGTGTGCGTGTGTCTGGGGGTGGGGGGTCATTTTACAAAATATGAACAATCGACAAATAATGTTATAAGTACAGGGTAACCTAAACTCTTGAAACCTCATATGACATTAAAAGAATCGCAGATAGTTACAGAAAGATGAATAATGTGTATCAGGAACTGAGTTTGGTTCTTCTGAGATAACGACCAATCACGCTAGAATATGTGTTGATACTGCTTATCATTGGCAAATGTTATCCATGAGTCTAATCAATAAGTTTAAGAAAAAAAACTTACCTGCCTTTCAGTATATATGCATACCTGGTTGAGATTAGGTTTAACGAACAAGTACCTCATACACGGAGAACTGTGTGTTTTGAGAACGCTAGAAATATTTAGCGTAAACTAACTTCATAACGGGTTCGACAGTTTCATTTGGAAGATAGCGTTAATTCCTCGTGTGAACATAACGTTGACTCAGCCATTACCAGCGCCTTAAAGATGCAATACAGCAAAGTATTGCAAACCCACACTGTTTTACTGGATTAACAATAATCGAAAAACACGCACAAATTTGACACTCTCGCGAACGCGTTTTTGTCCGGTACGCTCGTCGGCACCGCAACTTAGTGTATCTTGCTGTGGACTGGAGCGAACTCGGCGGCAGATTAAAACTCCAGCGATCTCCGTCAGAGGGCGGTGTTTCAGAGTAATCAAAGTCGCTTAGTGTTCTAGCACCTGGTGAGGTGCGGTCGTCCCAACAACTAAATTACTAATCACAGATAACGGTTCAGAGAGACTAGGAATAACGCCACTAGTAACTTCGCACACCGTGATTGAGTTAATGGGAGAATGTTACCGTAAAGATTGTATTCTAGTTCGTTTCATATATCCTTGAACTTTTTATATATTTTTCTCGTTATAGACTGTGCTATATCTGTTCATATCATGAAGAAGTACCACGGCTTTTGTGAGATTACAGTTCCATGAAATGTACGCCAACTTTGCTTCAGCTGTCAGCAAAGTAGCGTAGTTTGAGAGACACACAGCTGTTATCGGAATTCAAACCTTGTTTTCTGCTTCTTCGTAAATCCCACTTCTTTGAGCGCTGTTTGCTATAGAATTTCAATCATAGCTACAAATGGAATTCTTAGATGTGTGTATGGTGTAGTTGAGAAGCTATGCAAGGCTTGGGCAACAGGCTCCTCTGCGTACGAGGTATAATACTGGATAAATATTGACTACACAAAAACTTACAAGCTTATATTGCTACTTTGATCACGTGGTTTTAGCAGGCATGAAAGCACATTCCAAATTTCCTCTATGTATACAAACACTCACACACACACACAGATCTATATATATATACGTGATTGGATTTTTTGTGGTGAAAACTGGAGGACATGAGGGAATGAATGCTTGCACTCCCAATAATTCAATGCGCAATCAACATGTATTAGTTCTACTATAAAGTTGCTGAATTGTTTCTAAGCCAAAAAATATCTCCCTCCAAGACCTTTAGATAATTTCACATGTGTTCCCTGCTGTTTCCGGACACATCACTATTTAGTATTGTTTTTTGTTTGTTTTTTCTTAGCATAGGTAGTTAACGCTAATGTTGTTGAGTGGTGTACTGAAAATTTTAGGGTTTGAAAACCACTTTTACCAAGCATCGTTTTTCGCCTATACAAAAACACAAAGAATCTGAACGTGGCTCTGCTGGGGTTTGATAGCATACTCCTAGCTACATGAGATGAGCATGATGAATACATAACCTTAAAGGTGGTGCACGGATGAGTAAATCATCTGCTCGCCGCTATCTTTTGAATCAGAAGAACGCCAAGGGCCACTTGTGTCCAGATTAATCAATGTGATAAAAAGAGTTCTGGCCTAGCTCTAATCCCATGCATCCGTGGGAGACGAAGGAGGAGAATTAAGCATGATTGAACGTCAGTTAAAATCTTGCCTCCTCTAGGTAGAGGTTATAACGACGCATAGTTTTGTCAAGAGCCATGAAAATGATTGTGCCCTGGGTACTATAGAAACAAGTGCCACTCCTTATGTTCCCCATGGTGATGGCAATTGGCGTCCTTTCTGAACGGTATTACTGTTGCCCTGTTCGTTTCTCAGTTGCGTGATTGTACAGACTACTCGTCTAGATGGATGTAGTGTATTTCAGCTATTATCACATTCCAATCCAGCATGTAGAAGGATCCAGAGGTTTAAAGGCCAGTGTAGCATTGTTCGAAATTTGTGCCCAGAGGAGACCGTTTCAAACGAAATAACGCAGCACGACATAAGTCCAGTAAATCAGATTTGGCTCTGCACACACACACACACACACACACACAAAGCGCTATTTATTACATGTCTGGTAATCAACTTGCACGGAGACCTGAGTCAAAGTATTCCTCTTGTGATTGGCGTAACTGCTGTATAGACATGTTTAACACAAGCTTTAGTGTTAACAGTCGTGTATGTTGAAATATTTGTGGAGTTAACAGCTATAGACAAACAGAGCTACAAAGAACTTTTTGTCTGTATTCTTTATCTGTACATATTCTCTTTATTTGTACCCCCCCTCCCCAATGGCGCAGCGGTATGTCTGCGGATTTACAACGCTAGAAACCGGGTTTCGATACCCGTGGTGGGGAAAGCACAGACAGCCCATTGTGTAGCTTTCTGCTTAAAATTCAAAGAAACAAACAAACAATCTTTTGTACGTGATTGTTACGTATTTTTTGCGTACAGTGTGTGTGGGGACGTATACTTAAATATGTCTTATTTTGGTTCGACCTCTGCTATGTCTCTAGTTTGGAGTGGAAGTGTTTCTGAGTCCTGTCGCACATGTACATCAGTCTAGTGGGCGAATAGGAGGAGGTGTGTTTACGCTGTAAAATAGAAAACATTCTGAGTGCTTGGTTTTAAGCTTGGTCCCCACTAACAGGGGGCTTCGTTCCACTGAATGATAAAGAGGTCTCTGCTTTGGAGCGTTTTAAAAATGAAATAGACATATATTGCCTTGCATGTTGTCAACGTCGTCTGATTTGTTTGTTTGTTTTTAAACGTCGCAAAAAGCCACTCGAGGGCTATCTGCGCTAGTCGTCCTTAACCTAGAAGTGATAGACTAGAGGAAATGCAGCTATTCAACACACCACAGCCAACTTTTGGGCTACTCTTTTACCAACGAAAAGTGGGATTAACCGTCACTTTATAACGAACGCCCTTTCGGGCAAGCATGTTCGGTGACAGGATTTGAACCCGCGACCCGCAGATTGTGAGTCGAGCGCACTAACCACCAGGGCTACGTCATCAAGTAGCATGCTTTTATCTAGCTTAAGCTGCTCTTGGGTCCGGCATGGCCGGTGGTTAGGGCGCTTGACTCGCAATTTGCGGGTTCGAATCCCCGTCCCACCAAACATGCTCGCCCTTTCAGCCGTGGGTGTGTTATCATGTTACGGTCAATCCCACTATTCGTTGGTAATATAATAGCCCAAGAGTTGGCGGTGGGTGGTGATGACTAGCTGCCTTCCCCCTAGTCTATCACTGCTAAATTAGGGATGGCTAGCGCAGATAGCCCTCGTGTAGCTTTGCGCGAAATTCAAAAACAAACGCTGCTCTTTTTTTGTAATTCTGAATATCGATCTTGGTATGACTTTTATCATATTCAACCTAAAACTATTATCATTTAGCGATATTCATTAGCTGGTCGTTTTGTCGATATCGGTAGGTTCTTGATAATTCTCTCTTCGGGAAGTGTATAGGATCTTGCTAATACCAGTTTACCGAAATAGTTTGTGTTGATTAGATTTTTCTCCGTAAGTGAATTTGCTCAGTTTTTATGATTCTTGATTCAGATCATAAAATTATTGAAATCTCTGGCCACAAACAACCTTTTGATTCTCCATTCTGTACTTACGTGATTAGAGGTAGACAAAAATATATAATGTTAGTTAGTTCAAACACTTTATACAACTTACTGGGTTATTTAACTCCAACACTATTGGAGTTACCTTAAGCATGTAACAAGATCAGAAGAGTGTTTTTCAAAATTACCAAGCAAATTCCAAAAAAAAACAACAAAAAACAATGATTCACAGTACTGGTAATTCTGGTCAAATTATCATGTTAAAGGTCAACAAAAAAACTGTTAAAACTGTTTCGCTATTGTTAGAAAACGTACTTTTTATAGTTTGTATATATAGTAAGTGAATATATGGGTCTGTTGGGCTAAGGATTTTTCTACAATACGTGACTGTGACTTGTTGGCAATAAATTAAAAAATCAACGAACACCACTCACTCTACTTGTTTTTAAAGTTAATATATATATATATATATATATATATGGAACTAGTTAAACGCATGTACAACAAATTATTTACACTGTAGAGATAATAAGCATATCATAGACACTATATAGTTCTCTTCTTCTTGTGAAAAGTCCACTTAGGCCTATTCAATTGCTTTAGAATTTCTGTTAACAAGCCAAACTGTTTTTCTCTGTTATTATCGCCATACTATCCGAGTACAGTTTACTCAGTTTATCGTCGAGATACCATGGATGTATCCTGTACTTTTAAAATCGTCTGCTCCTTTTCTCTCTCTCTTCGTATCTCCGAGAATCGTCTGTTTATTTATCAAAGACCACTGAGGCTAGTTCAATTACCTTAAAACTCCCTTTGACGAAATAAACTTTTCTTCTTACCTCTTTCAACACCGTTAGGCCTATATTAATCGTTAGGCTTTCCATTCCTACGACGATTAAATTTTATTTGCCCGAATTCCTTTTCGTAACTTTACTTTACTTCTGTTCTGTCTTTGTCTGTCTGTCTACTTTTTCCGCTCATCTCGCATTATTTATGTGTTTATTACTTGATCGTCTGCTCGCTTTGTCCTCAACATCTATAAATTTCATGCGACGTTCGATAATATCGACATCAGTGAGTTACACAAACAACGTACGACTCTTACCGAGTTACGTAACTAAACTTGTCACAACATTTACTTTTAAATAATTGCTTCTAAATCTCTTGTTCTGAACAAAACTAAACAATCATAAATTAATAATATCTACACTAAACAGTTTTTTATATCATGACAGCTGTTAAAAACTGTTTGGGTGTAATTTTTTAAAACAATATGTTAATTAAGATATAATTGCAGACTTCCTCATTAGGAGTGCGGGTCGGCCATTCCCCACACTTTAAACTACTGAATGGCTGCCTTTCTTCTGGTCAGCAGTTCAGAAAATGTAGGATATCGCTGACACTTTGAAGTATCAAAATGGTCATCTCATTGGGACTTGAACCGTTCATTGTTTCGTAACGTTACACAACTATCAAGTACATCCAGTAATCTAACTTAACATCATGTTTCTGTTAGGTTAGGTTAATCCCAATATTTGTTGGTAAATGAGTAGCCCACGAGTTAGCGGTGGGTGATGTTTACTAGCTGCTTTCCCTCTAGTCTATCACAAATAAATTAGAGAGGGCTAGCGCAGATAGCCCCCGAGTAACTTTGTGTGAAGTTCAAAACTAACAAACTTATACGAAGTTTCATGGATCATTGAGTATCTTTTCTGAAATGTAACAAATGCTGAAGAGATCAGAAGTTTTATTGTCTGATCTGCGGCAAGCTTATTTTAAGAGTAACACTCGATGGATTTTGATATTGTTTTTTAACATATTTTAACAGTAACAAACGATGGATTTCGATATATTTTTA